GCCAGGCTTGCAGGCCTTGCACAAGCCCCAGAGCCTGCTAATCCTGCAGGGCTGTGGGTTGGATCCATCCTGCTCCTCCTGAAACTGAGTTAGAGCAGTGAATGTGCACACTATTGCTGGGTTGTGGGCAGACAGACTGCTTGGGCACACCTCTGGATGGGAAGGCCCAGGTGCCTCAGTTTCCCTTTGTGAAGCAGGAAAGCCTTACCTGCTTGTGCTGCAGGGTGTTTGGGCACGTGGTGGCTCTCCCTGGACAGTGTCAGAGCCCAGCTGCAGGTTCCCCAGGCTATATGTCCAAGCAGTGCTGCAACATCAGCAGTACTACAGTTTCAGGGTGCATGCACCGTGTTTGTGCGCTACGATGCTCTCGTGGACAGCAGTCTGATGGCATGGACTGCTTGCTCCAGCAAGGAGAAAACACACAGGCTGCGGGCTGGGATCTGTGGGAAGCAGTCCCCATCGATACAGGGTGCTGGCTGGGGGTTACTGGTGAGTTCTGCAGCCCCTCTTGCTGCTGTATTGATGCAAATGCAACGCAGAGCCCCGTAAGTCAGCCAGGCGCACGCAGAGAAAGGCAGGGATGGATGGAGTCGGTGTCAGGGCAGCAATTGCTTATCATGCCTTATCTGGGAATATGAAACTGTATTGCATGACATCCAGAGGCAGGCTGAATAGATACGCCAATTCATCTCGAGCCCGGGCTTTGACAAGCTAGACTGCCCTTGTTGAAAGGCATCAGTCAAACAAGAGCTGCTGGCTGCTTTTCCCTTTCTTATACTTTCCCTCGCTCTCGCGCTCCGTCTCCCTCTCTCGCCACCTCCCCTCCCTCCTCCTTTTTTTCTAAGCTGTTTCCACACCAAATTGAAAAGCTTTGGAAATAATAATAATAAAAGCCCCCCAAACTAATACCGTTTTAAGTACCCCCCTCCCTTCCCAAATGGGATTGATAAAGAACCCCAGTGTATGAAGGCATGTTTAGATAACATTGAGAATATTATAGCGGGTGAGAGAAAGTAGGGGAAAAGCTTCCTGCCGCGTCTAAGCCGGGAAAAGCGACGGCACCCTGGCTAATACGAGTGTTTAATATTTGATGTGTTGGGATAAAGCAGGATCACCTTCGAATTGAATTGAGTGTCAGAATGAGAATCTATTACTGAAATTCTTGTGTGATTTGACAGCAAAGCAGACGATGTTATTCTTCACTAGTTACCGCAATCTTCTCTCCTACATCACTTAAATATTTTTTTCTTTGCTTGAGTAAACACACATTATCCTTTTTTTCCACCCCCCTTTCCTTTTTTTCTTTCCCTCTTTTATACTTTTTTTTTAACGTTTTTTTTCCCCTTAAATCAAACCTGCCTTTCGCAGGGCCGATGGAGCAGATTGTTATTTCTTTATTTGTCCTATTAAATGGAATTCCTGATCGTTTAATCCCGCTTTTGTAAGTGATTTAAAAACACTTGAAAAGCTGTGAATGCAGCAGCCCTGCTGACTAAACTGCTTAACAGGGACACATTGCACCTGGGCTGGTGTGGCATGGGGGAAATTCCTTGCCTGCCGCGGCCAGGCTGCAGGGGATGCTGTGCTGCAGAGTGCTGGGGGACCAGCTTTCCTCCTCGCCCTCCTGCTCCTTACCTACTCCTATGTATGTGTTTTCAGCCCCAGCCAAGCTGTGTGGTTTGGCCTGGGTGGTGTTCATTTGCCCTTTCATCGTGCTGGTGAGTTTGCATGGCAAGGAATCCCAGCAAGATATTTCCTGCTCCCCTCCTTTCTGTAGCTTGCAAGCAATAATATGGGATGGCCAGGGACCCGCTGCCCCAAAGGCACTCTCAGCCCCAAAGCCATAGGACGGAGTGGCACCAAGGACACTTTAAGCTCTGTTTCAAATCCCACTTAGCTGCAGGCTCGACCTCCTTTTTCCTTCCAACACACAAAGTAATATAAAACCCTGACATCTCATCATGGAAGCAGCAGAATGAGGTGGGTTCGAGGGAAATGCTTATGTTGGGCATGCGGTTGACACGACGAGGGGAAGAAGATGCTTTTGCTGTCACAGAGTCATTTTCTCTGTTGCAAGGATGTCAGGGGTCAGCCTCAATCCGCGGGCTGCTGTGCATAGGGGTCCTGCTCCCTCCACTTCCCATCCCCATCCTTCAGTATCTCCTCAGCCCACCCCGTGTCTTTGCTCCTGGGAGGATTATTCCGAAAGGAAGTACTTTCTCCCTGCGTGGTACATATGAATATTAAAATTACAGTTAGCATGTTAAACGTTTAAAGACACCAGATGGGTCATGGCATTGACATGGCAGAAAGGACGGGGAACATGGCACTGCCAGCCCCTGTAAGGTGTCTGCTGAATGCTGCTGAGTGCTTCCCGTGAATAAATGATGGGGCATCGTTGAGCCCACTTGGATCCATACATCAGCTTGGCATGTTCCAGTGCAGGGAGCACACAGCATCTCCATGCCCCAGCCTGCTTTACCCTAAGTGCTGTCCCATAGCACCTCCCTGCTTTACTTCCCCCCAGCTTGAGCATCCTCCAGTTATGCACGGTGTGAGTTACCCAAGGACTTATTCCCAGTCCTGTTAACGGGATGTGGATTATCTGTGGTGCTGGTTGCATGCGTGGAAATAGATGTCTAATGTCGGGCTGCTCTTAGCTCCCATTTATCAAGGAGGATCTGCTTACCTTTGCTTTGAGATCCCTGCGCCAGGGAGTGACCCAGGGCAGTATTTGTGAAGTGCTGCGTATGCCTATGGGATTGTATAAGTAAATAAATATAATTAATAATCATCTGACTTCAGAGGAGCATTGTCTGGGAGGCAAATGCGGCCTTCACAGAATTACAAACAGAATCAGGAAAAAAAGGAGAGAATGGAATGGAATGGAAATAACTGAGTTCAGAGTGCTTGAAAATGATTCTGCAGGCATGTTGTTTTGGTGTTTGGTAGCAGATCAGAGGGGCTGAGTTCGTATTTGAATCAGAATTCTGACCCAAAATATTTTACGAGAGCTTTTGGAAAAGGTACCCACATTTTTTGTATAGTTCAAATGGAGATGAAAACAAAATCCTGCGGGGTGCTGCTCTCACCTCATAGGGCTCTGCTTGGTCCCTCCAGTGAGGGAGGAACAGATGGGTGTGATTTCCTGGCAAAAAGGGCAAAAAGCCACTGGTGCTGGCATTGGGACCTCGTGTCGGGTGCTCACTTTAACAGTCAGAAGAAGAACTTTCCTATTTAAAGATTAAACGTTGTCTTTAAATATTAAACAGCAAAGCTCTTCGTTCTTGATTGTGTGGCTGCTGCCGGCAGGCGGCTCAGAATTGCCAATTTTAATTAAAAAACTTTATTTTCGAATACAATCCACCACTGGCAGAGCTCCTCCCTGGCCAGGCTGGCTGCACTTCCCCCGGCCCGGCTGCTTTCCACCTGCCCACGAGGTGACAGCAGTCACTGCACCGAGTGTGAGCGGCCTCAGCCGGACCGATCAATGCCCCTGGCACTTCCTTCCAAAACCCCAGGAAAAACAATTAAAACCCAATCGATCCTGCAGACAGCTTTGAATATGCATAAGTGCACACTTGACCTTCAGTGGTCAGGCCAACTTCTAGCCGGGCTGCTTAGCTAGTTTGCTCAGGTAGCGCGGCTGTACCAAATGACCTTGATTAACAAAGCAAAAGTGCTATGCAAAAGAGGTGCTGATCTGGGAGATCTAAGGTGTGGGCTTCTTGTTCTGTTCGCAGCAATAAACCCCAATTTTAAGCAGGAGGGAGGTGAGAAGGATGTGGGGCGCTTGGCCGATGGGTGTTAAGGCAGCCTTACCCTGTGCATGGCTGTGGCTTTGCTGAGATGATGTTGGAACGTTCTCCTCACCAGGAGCCTGATGCTCTGCATTCATCCGCTGCAGCCCAGGAGAGGGAGCCAGGAGCCCCAGGCAGAGCTGCTGTGTTTGACACCCGGACCCCCAGAACTGGGTATGGGGCACAGCATCCCAACCAACACACGGCCACCAGCAATCCCAGCAATGAAGTTATCAGAGCGTGTTTGTTGAACGTGTTGTGTACACACAAAGTGTAATTTCAGTGAATTATGCATAGACTTAATTAGGAGTTTTAATTGCTAATCATCTCCCAACAGGATTAGCAATGCTGTCTATTAATTATCCGTGGAGCCCTCTGTTTTGCTAAGGCAGGAGCAACAAGGCAGCGTAAACCATTACGGAGGCCAGCAGTGAATTCCCAACCCCAAAGCCATGGCTCCCATGGGGCAGCCATGCAGCAGGGAGCAGAGCAGGGGCACTGGGGGCAGCCCCAAAAGCAGGCTTTACTTTTGGAGCCCTGCTGCTCCTCCATGCAGTGACTGTATGCAGTGATGATCCCCGCTGCGGGAGGGAGATAGGCGCTGCGGGATTGACCTGATCTCATCTGGGGACAATGGCCCTCACGGCAGCAGAGATAGCCCTGTGTGAGTTGTGCTAAGCCCACGTGCTGTTCTTAAGGCTCACAATGCAATTGTGAGCTTAATTCCTTAAGATGAAGGAGATAGGGGGCTCTCAGGCTGTAATTATGGCCGCATGCATGGTGCGGGGCTGGCCTGCTCTCCCACTGCTGTTGTCCAGTGGGGCTGTGCCACTCGGGCAGTGGGTGCTGCTGCAAGAAGCTGTGGGGCAGGAGCAGATTCTGGCTGGGTTACGGGCTCTATGGGGCCCAGCGGGGTTTCTTCTAGAGGCGAAGAGCCCAAAGGCTGTAGGAGTCCCAAAACACCCAGCCATGGAGCTGGGGGCTGCCTCAGGACCCCCACAGTGACACTCCTGTGCTAGTCTCAGTGTCAGGCCCTGGGCATCTCTGAAGTGGGACAGGCCTGCGCCACCTCCTGGAAAGTTTCTTTAGGGGCAGTGTCTGGATCTGTGTTGAATACTGGGGACACAAACACACGTGTGCCCTCCAGAATGTATCTCATGTGCCCCATGCAACCTGTGACCTTCTGCTTCTCTCTTGCAGGCGTACAGCTTTGCCATGGGGAGTTGGCCAAAGAACGGACTCTTAGACATGAACAAAGGACTGAACCTACAGCACATAGGGAGGCCTCACAGCGGGATAGGTAAGTGACCCAGTGCTGTGTTCTGCCCATTTCCATGGCTCCAAGAGCTGCTCAAAGCCAGGTGCTGAAGGCCAGCCAGAGGGCTGCATGGCCTCTGGCTGGCAGAAGGGAAGAAGATGCACCAGGTTGTGCCTGCAACATGATTGGAAAGGGGGAATGCATCCTGGCTCTTAGTCCCCCTGGGGAATTGCTCCAGGGGTGCTGCAGCTGAGAGGGGATGAGTGCTGGGCTGGGAGCTCTCCCTGCTCTGGGGTGCTCTGAGGACTACAATTGTCTTTGGGGGCAGGGACAGTGCAGGCTGTGGGATATGTGGGCAGCAGGGATCTGGCCCAGGTTCACCGGGCTGTGCCTCAGAGGGCTGCATCACACTTGCCTGCCTTGTGTCTGCCTTCCCTCTGCCTCCCAGCCCTTCATCCAGTGTGACTTGAGAGAAGTAAAGTTTGCAAGAAGGTAAGATTTACTTGGAAAAGTCACCTGCTACCTGGGCCTTGAGGAGGCTGTTTAATATTGTTTCAAGACTCTAACCATTAAACTCTCCAATCAATCCAAGTTAAGGAGATGAATTATTTAAAGCTCACCAGCTTTTAATTAGCAAGCTCCTTTTGAACTATGGATCTGGTTGCATTATTGACGGAGGTAGCATTAAAATTTGCTTCCTTGCCTGGGAGCAGAGTTGCCTTGCTGGTGTGCCACACTGGCGGTGATGGGGAGCAAGCTGGGACCGCAGGAGCTGTGTTCTGCCTTCTTTTGGGGCTTGAATCTTTCATAGAAACTCTCTGGGGAATGCAGAGTTGTTTTATGCCTCATCTTTTGTTTTATTTATGGTGAGAGTGCTCTGTTGCTGTCATCTCCTACTCTGACAAAGCATCCCTAGTTATGGAGTATCACCTGTCTGCTCTTGGTTTCTGCCCGTGTTTATCTCAGTGCTGTCTTGCTCAGGTATGTCTCTGCCTGATTGAGTTGAAAGGTGCTGCTCACCTGCCTCTCCACTCCAGTCCTTTAGGAAGGCTTTGCTGCCTTGTCCTGGAGCAGGCATGTGTCCTGCAGAATTTCCTGCCCTGGGCTGCCCCTCCCTTCCTGGAACAGCCCAATCCATGCCCACTTTCCAGGGCTGCTATCTCAAGAGTTAGGAACAGCTCAGCACATCTGCTTGCCTGTTACTTTACATAGCAGCAAGCCTGGACCTAGCTGTGGCTTTGGAAATGCTCTTGTGTTGTCTGGAGTCTCATTATTCCTTTGTAGGGTCCCGGGGTGCAGCAGGGTTGAGGAAGTTGGGGGGCAGACTGGGGTCCCCAGGGCTGCCCTAGGTGGGGGTCAACACCTGCTCTGATGGTTGCTGGTGTGCAAAAGTCTGCAAACCAGGGAGGGCTGAGAACTGAACAAAGACATGCGTAATTTCCCCTTCTGGTTCCAGTATGGGAACCTCAGGGCTGGATCCTATATGGGAGCCTCACCTTGTGCAGCTGCCGCGCACGGGCAGGGAGCTCATGGTGAAGCCTGGTGGAAATCCAGGGCCACATCCCTTGGGAAATATGGCTGGGGCTTCCCTGATGGCTGGAGGGAGCTCTGTGCAGTTTAGGGCAGCAGATCCCTGCAGTGGCAGTGGTGCAGCCTTGCTCTCACATCGACGTCTCTCTATGGAGTTGCAGAGACTGATATAAATCAGAATGATTAAAATCACAGGTTTTAATTGAGATTTAAATCAGCCAGCAGGGCACCTGCTTTCAGTAATTGATTTTCTTCTATATTCACACTGTTTTTAACTGTTTCCCTAAAGAAAGGTCATGTTTTACTGACCAGCACCTATCAGACTGTGTTCAGCTCTCCCAGGGATTAAACCTGGTTATTCTTTCTTACATTTAATGCAGTATATTTTCTACATTTATTTTGATCAATAATGTAACATAGTAAACCTTTACTCTTAGTGTTTAGATTGTCATTATGTTAGAAAAATGGTGCATTACTGTTAGTTATTCAAGAAGTGAGGATTAAAAGATTGCTCATGATTTCAGCCATAGTGTTTTTCGATGAAAATCAGAATGCTCTGTTTGAGTAACCATAAGTGGTTTAAATAATGTTTGTTGGTGACTTTCTTCTTTTTCTACAAGCCTTTGTTGATTCTTGGCTCTGAGCGAGCCAGCTACTGAACTGAAAACATGCTCAGAAAAGGGAGAAGTTTCCAAATGTGCAGAAGAAGCCACTGCTGTGCAAGTTGATTTCTCGTTTGCCCACTCTGCTTTAACCTGTGGTGGATTGGCTGCCTGCAAAGCACGGTGAAAGTTCAGAATTCAGCCTGCAGATTCTTTCCGTTTCAAATCTCGGGACCCGTGGGCTCAGGACGGTGCCAGCGTGGTCCTGGGGCCGCAGCACTGCTCTGTGCCATGGGGCCATGCCAGCCTGGGGGAGCAGCCCCACAGCCCGGGGTCAGCAGCCCTACCGTGCGCAGCCCTGCAGGCACCCGCGCTTCCCCAACCCCGACTTTCTCTTTTCATTTACTGATTGGAAATCTCGGAAGGTTAGGGCGTGATATTGTTCCTGATCCAGAGCATTAATTAGGCCTCGGATAGAAGAAGAGGAATTGCGTGTTTTTAACAGTGAGGTTAATGGGATGCTCGCAGAGTAGACAGTTTTAATGAGCTTCAACTCGACGTGCAGTGAGTTTACTCTTTGTGTTAAAAGGGTCACACTGCAGTAGTTTGATGTGGATTGTCTCCTGGCCCCCAGTGTCATAGGTGAGCGTCTGTCAGAGTCCAGTCAGAGCGCATTTACTTAGTGACACGATTCTAATTAACTGCCGCCGGCTGCCAGCGCCCGCGGTGCCCCTGCCCTGCCCGCGTCCTGCTAAGTGCGGGGCGGGCACACGGATGGTGCCTGTAGCTGTCAGCACCCACTCTCCTCCTGCAGCTTCATTTCAGCCTGCTTTCCTTTCGCCTTTTCCTTTCTTCTCGGGATGCTCCAAGACCCTGTGCTTCTCTCTGGCACGTGAACCAAGGGGATGAGGGCAGCGTTTTGTGACACTCCCCTCTGCTTTTAGCCACCTCTCACCCCAACCTCAGTGTGGCTGTGGGGACAGAGCAGGCAGATCCCGTCCTTTAGCTCTCAGCAGAGGCAGTGCTCTGCCAGTGCAGTACCGTGGGCACAGCATCATCCTCGTGCCAGGGGAACCAATGGCAAGAGCTGAGCAGAGAACTGGGAGCTGCCCTGGGGCCGCTGCCATGGACAGAATGGGGCTCCCTCTGCCAGGCAGCCGGAGGCAAAAGAGAAAAGACTCAGAGTTAAATAATTAAAAGAGACTTAAGGAAAAGTAAACAGAAATGTCATCAAATGAGGGGTGTCATTCTGAATTAGTGCTGGTAAAGGTCAGGCAGCTCCAAACAGGTGCCGCGGTGAGGCACTGCGCCCGGCTGGCAGAGCGTGCTGCAGGGAGCGCAGCGGGACGGGGATGGGGGCAGTGGGGTCCCACGCCCTGTGGGAGGGACAGGAGCCCGTGCTGGCCGGTCAGGGTCTGTCAGTGTCCAGTCAGTGCACGTTAACGTGCTGACATGGTTCTAATTAACTACCGTGAGAGGTGTCACAGCTGGAAAAGCAGGGAGCGGAGATGGGCTTTTAAAAAAAGAAAAAAGCAATGTGACAGTCCTCTTTTTTTTTTTTTTTTCCCTTTTTTTTTTTTTTTTTTTCTTTCTTTTTTTTTTTTTTTTTTTACTCTTGTGTGCTCTCTCCCCTCCATGTGGGAGTGGATCTAAAGATAATTAGGATGTCTGGCTGCCTAGGAACCTGAGCCAGGGCTCTTTTGCTTTCAGTCATTTAAGTTTTCGACATCTCTCTGAAGGGACTTGGTGGCGCAGTGGATTACTGCGCGCCAGAGTGACAGAACACTCTTCTAATCGTAAACCCTTTTTAGAAAAGATTCTGCTCTCCCTTTTTCCCCAGGAGCAGCGGGGGGTATGTTCTGATCACTGCAGCTCTGTTCCCATACACGCCACAATGGGAAACTCAAGGTCTTTCAGCTGTTTCCTGCAGTTAACAAAGGAGGCACAGAAGAAAGAAAGGAAGGATGATTGAGTGTTTGTGTTGACTGCAGTCACCCCTCTGTCCTACCCAGCCCAAAGTCGATGGCACACAGGGGCACGGTGCACTGCTGGCCCCGCTGTGCTGGATGTTGCTGGAGCAGTCCCGGCGTTCTGGTGGAGGTGAGGTAGTTACAGGGCTGTGGCTGCTCGGGACAAGTGATGCAGTGCCATGTGATGGGATGCCATGCTCTGCAGTGCCGTGCCGTCTCATGCCAAACCATTGCTGGCATACTGGCAGTGCGGGAGGGGCTGTTGAGGGTGTGATTTAGGGATGCTGTGTTACAAACCAGCCAGTCCCAACAGCAGGAGCTTGCAGGCCTGAATTAACCTGCACTGCAGAGAGCCCTATGCGCTAGCTCGGGACCACCCTACTGTTGGCTGTCTGTCTGTCCTGCAGAACATTCCTCCTGTAGGCACTTGTTCTGAAACAAGAGCACTTGGAGCATCGTGCCACAGCCTCACGCACTGGAAGACATGCGGTAGGTGAGAGGCCTGGGAAGATCATTAACTTTCCAGAGAGCTTTTTCTGTAGAAAGTAGAAACGTAAAACACTGAGTGACATTTTGATTTCCCCATGGATTCTTTGGTGCCTTAGTGTCTCTCTGCGACATGTCCCAGACGAGGCTTGTCCTCTCTTACCTGTGAGTGGGGAAGAGTTTCCTGTTAATGAACATAAACGTCTCAATTAATAGCACGGAAACGTCTTTGAACTTCAAGCTACGTGTCCCTGACCCACTGCTGGGGACCGGGTGGTACGGCCAGCCCTGGGACAGTCCTTACTTGGTGGCTCTCTCTGGTCTGCAGCGTCCTCCTTGCCATCCCCTTGGGCTGCCAGGATGGGGGGTGACTCAGGAGCACCTCCTGATCCTGAGGGCAGTGAGCACAGCTCCGTGCCCGTTCCTCCTGGCCCTAACGAGAGCCACCATCGAG